CCGGGGAAGGGGGGGGGGCGGGGGGAGGCGGCGGATTGCGCCCTCCCTGCGGTTGCTGCTGCGGGCCTGCCCAGCGGTACGTGGCCGGTAGTCAATGCTCGGTGGTCGATGCCCGGTGGTGCATGTCCTGGCGGGGAATGCCCAGTAGTCAATGCCCTGCAGTGAATGCCCAGTAGTCAATGTCCTGCAGTGGATGCCCAGTAGTCAGTATCCTGCAGTGGATGCCCGGCGGCGGATGCCCGGCCAGCGCCGACGCCGGGCACCCCCCTGGCGGGCGCGGGGGCCATCCCCTCCCCCGGCCCCATGCCCCCACCCATAGGCGCGCGCGCGCCCAGGGGGTGCCTACACGCGCTCCGAGTGGGGACCGTGCACGCGGCCAACCAGCCCGAGATTATTGGCCCGTGGGAGGAGGGGGGGGGATGCTTTGCAATGTGGCCGGGCGGGTGATGGGACCCGGCCGCCGGAGCACGAGCGCCCGGGTCCGTCGCATGTGGAGCCGACGGAGATCCGGCCAGAGGGCACCCCAGAGGGGCAAGGGCTCCCGGCGGCTTGGGGGCCGGGACCCGGCCAGGGGGCACCTTGGCGGCCCCCTCTCCAACAACGAGGGGACACGGTCGGCGGCGGGCGGCAGGCCGGGGGGCGGCCGCCGGAGGATGCGGGGGCAAAAAAAAATACGCGCCCTTGTGTGATGGGGGCCGCCGCGTGTTGGCAGGGGCCTTCTCTATGGGCGCGGCTCGCACATGCGCATGGCCGGGGCGTGTCGCGCGGTGGGGACGGCCGCCAGAGGGAGGGAGGGGGGCGTTCGGTTCGACTGCCGCCGGTTGGCGATGGCCCCGGCCAGGGTGGCGCCACACGGTGCGGCCAATGGAGATACGGTCCCCGCTGTGTGCGCATCACACCATGGCCGGCGCAGGCCCTCTCGAGGCGGCCCCGGCCAAAAAAGATAGCCCACTGTGGGGCTCGAACCCACGACCCTGGGATTAAGAGTCCCATGCTCTACCAACTGAGCTAAACAGGCTATGAGGGACGAACATCAGAACCGGCTGAAGAACGTGGGGATGTTGTCCGGCCGCCCTGGCCGGCGGCGGCCGAGCGGGCGAAGCGCCGCCGGGCGGTTGTCCCGGTCCGAGC